GGATCTCCTCGAGGGTTTCCCTCCGAGATTGGCATTTGGCGAGTTCAGCAACCCAATGTGCTCAAGTTTGAGCTATCTCGACTGCCTCTCTCGCTTGCACATGGGCGGCTTCAGCATCAGCCCGATAGACGGCCACGATTGCATCTGCCTCGACCTTTGCTTTCTCGGCCTTGGCAAATTCGGAAGCCAATCGAGCTTTGAGCTCCTCTATTTTTCTTGCTTGAGCCGAGCTCTTCTACTTCATTCCTTGAAGTTGACTTTCGACCGATGATAATTGAGCTCGAGCAGTCTCTTTCGCTGCAGCAAGACGATCCATACCTTCTTTCCATCCCAAGGACTCCGCCTTTATCGTGTCGACCTCCTCACGAACTGCTCGATCCTCTCTATCTTCTACTGCAGCTGTGAGATGGAAATGTTAGCCACCGTTCCTGAGTCAAGCCCATAAGATTTTAAAATTTTCATTACCTGCTCGATCAGGACTGTCTGATCTTGGTGAGCCTTGGCAAACTCGGCTCAAAGATCTTTGATCTCTTCCTCTTTCTGCCCACTAAGAAGTTTGAGGGCATTTCTCTCCTCCGAAAACCCTCGAAAGTCGACCTCACGTTGGCTCAGCTTTGTCCGAGACTTGGAAAACTCCTCTTGATGAAGAGTTAAAGCCTATACAAAAAAGAGAAAAAGTTAGGCAGAAAATGGAAAAATATGACATCAACAAAGGAAATCGAGACTTACCCGATTCAGGGCTCGTTGAACCTCGAAGAAAAGACCTGACGCGTCACTCGGGCTGGCTGCATCCTCGATACCTGTAAACAAATCACGAAAGAGGTCCTCTCCCTCATGGCCCCCATCTACCTCAAGGGTCCCCAAAGCTCGGGCTTCCCGAATTTCCCCTTCGGAAAAAGCAGGGAGAGTAGGCGAGTCTCTGATTACTATTGCCCCAAGCGAGTCGCTTGGGGTGTTCTCCTCAGTTCGAAGAGCTTCAGGGCCGGCCCCTTCAGTTATACCCACCATTTGTTGACTTCGGTGGGAGGCATCCTTGATCTCCAACGACTCGAGGACTTTGTCGGAGTCCTTCTCTGATATCCCCTCAGTTCAAGATGGAGCCTCATCAACCGCCATCGACGCAGCTGCCTTTGGGGCATCAATGGTTTTCTTCACTCGGGCCACCAGTATGGACCCGTTGTTTTCTTCTTCTTCTTCTTCTTCATCATCCCTTAGATGCCGAACTGATTCTTCGGTCAAAGGGATGGTATTATTCCTCGGCTTACGAGCCGTCCTTGTCTTAAGTTTTGGATCCTCGGAAGTAGATGCCCTTTTTCTCTTGTTGTCCTTCGCCGGTTTTGGAACTAGGGCCGGAGTCTCTTCCTCGCCAGAGGAGGGCCTCATGACCGCATCTTTGCCCCGGCCTACACACAAGAAAATTGGTTAAGCATAAAAAAGACATTTTGTTAAATCATCGAAGATATGGGAAAGAGGCTTACTATGAGTTTTAGCCTCCCATCGGCCCTTTGATAAGTCGCGCCATGAGCGCTCGGCATATGTGGAGGTCGAAGCCAGGTCCCGTACCCAGCTCTCAAGGTTAGGAATAGCACCAGGCATCCAAGCAACCGCTACGTCACTGAAAAGGATATCGGTGAGAAAAAATTGAAGGAGCAAAACAATAGGAGCTAACAGTAGAATTATACTTACGCTTCATATTCCATTCCTCGGAAAATGGCATCTTCTCGGCCGGGATTAGGTCGGAAGTCTTCACTCGAACGAACCTGCCCATCCAGCCTCGGTCCTTGTCCTCGTTCGAGAACAACACTTTGTTAGCCCGGCGCTGGAGTTTTATTAACCTACCTTGATAGAGGCGGGGGCTGTACAGTCTAATGAGGTCGTCGAGGGTGAAAGGCATCCCCTCGACTTTGTTCACAAAGAAGCGAATCAGAATAACGATCCGCCAAAAAGAAGGATGGAATTGGCCTAGGGTTATTTGGTATAGGCGGCAAAAATCGATGACAACTGGGTCGAGTGGACCAAATGTGAAAGGGTAAGTATAAACACTTAAATACCCTTTCACATGAGTAGTAATATCTTCTTCAAGAGCCGGGATTATCACTTCTTTGTTCTCCCAGTTGCAATCTTTCCTTAACTATTTAAGATGTTCCTCGGTTATCGAGCACATATACCTCGATACTGGCTCGCATCGATCAGGAACACACTCCTCAGGTCGTGGCTCCACCGGTGTTTTATCGCCGGCGGGCCGCGAAGAAGAAGCTTTTTCTTTTTGAGGAACGATTTTTGACGTTTTCGCCATTTGGATTTGAAGATTGAAGATAGAGGAAGATGACAAGATTTGGTGTTCTGAAGAGGGATTTTGCAGTGAAAATCACAGATTTACAGATGAAGAACTCAGAAGATGTGAAAAAGAACTTAGAAGATTTGGAAATTGGAGATGTAAAAGTAAAAAATGGTAAAAAGATGAGCTATTTATAGGGTTAGCAATGACGGTTCCATATCGGCAATGGCGGACCATCGTCTGACACGTATTTAATGCCTTGGTAACTGAACCGACGGGACATCTATCACGTACGTCATGGTTGGGCTCGATGCAAATATCAGTGTATATCTAGTCATATCATTGGATAATCATGTCGTTTCTCGCCACATTCTTCCCAAGAAACGAGGGGACTATCTGTATACGGTCAAAATTAGTTTCGACCTTCGTATGGTTAATCAAGATTGGAACATAATGGACCGAAGGTCATCTTCATAATATCGAGATGAGATCTGAATCCAGGTTACCAAGCTCGAATTTCTGGGACCAATCAAATACCGAGCTCGAGTCCAAATCGAGCTATGAAGTGAAGCGTTGTCATCGAGCTTAAGAGCCAGAGACCGACCAACATCAAGCCCGATTTGATACCGAGCCCCGAGTCAATATCAAGCTCGAGTTAATATCGAGCTCTAAATCTGGTAATCGACCAATACCAAATCCGACCAAGATCGAGCCAAGAGACAAAAGCCGTTACAGCCGCACTAAGGGAGAGAATCTCGGCGGGAATTAGGGAAAGGCTAATCTATCATGAGATCCTCACTATGTATTTTTAGTTATATCTAAAGTAGGATTCCTCCACTATAATAGGGATAGCTACTATTTCTGTAGAAGGATCCAAGATTAAGACATTGATACACTTTCATATTATTGATATTAGCAGAGAAAAACATACTGATATTCATATAGAGATTATCCTTTTTTGGGTTTTGTATATCGATTCGTCTTGCTTGTTCATAAACCGTTTTCCACTCAATTTGGTTTGTCTTTCATTCTTTATACAGTCAATACTCAATATATTTCTACTTACTTTTCGATTTGTGCCAAGTTATACCACGTATCCTTAGAACTACGTATAAATTGAACTATATCCGTTTTTCGGGTAATCACTAGTCCATAAAATATGCAAAAACCGTCCTTCGAGAAGATCACTGCACCGTTTTTGTTAATACGCTTTGTTAGAGAACTAATTATGACATAATTATTTTTCTATTAGCATGTTTTTAGAATCTCACTTTCAGCTAGAAGAACACCGCCACAAAACGGCATAAAATCTAGTCAACTAGACTAGATAATCATGACTATTTCGAGATTGGATATGCAATCCATTATTAAATCATTAATACGTTAAAGAATTGAGGGATAACTCATAAGTCATAACTCACTGATGATTGAGCTTTTCTTTTATATCAAAAGTGCAAGGTTTGATTCAGAGACATTGTTTTAGTTCAGACCTTGTATATGTATTAAAAGATCTACTTAATATGTACAAATATTAAATTTCGAACCTAATAACTGATCAAATGGTCACTAAATTCGGTGACTTCCCCACTCATAAAGTTTTTAAATTATGAATCTGCCTCTTCGGGCAACTCTAATCCCGAAAAAATAAATTCCTCAAAAAGAATCTTTAGTGCGTTATTATTGAGAGGTATGTTTGTTTTGAGGCAAAATGGCATTTGTGATTAGTTTTGTTTGGCACCATATTAGCTATCGGGCAACTATAGTGTAGCGTGCAAGAAAATTAAGATATGTCTCATAAAATCTGATGTTTTCAACAGTTAGATCCAGTTCAAAAGATTAGGGTAGAGACAATTGAATTCTGTTCAACTGAACGTTCTTCAAATCCTTTACAGCTTGTTTGGATAATTTTTATGTATCGTTTTATAATGTATTGTATAATATTATATTATATTGTTTTGATATATACAATGTTTGAATAGATTATATTATTTGTCGTCGTTTTATAATGTCATGCACCAACAATATGAAAAATAAACTTGCAATATTATGAAGAAAAAGTAAGATACGAGGTAATATTATTATATTAAAAAATAGGGTAAAAGATAAAATAAGATTATTTAATAATAAAAAATGGCAAGATGAGAAAAAAAATAAGGTAACGACGTGACCACACCAAATTGGTTGTTCCATAAAGTGATATTTTTCGTCATTACGTAACGGTGAATTTAACGATACGATACAATAAAATTTAAGTGATAATCAAAACAAACATTATATTTAAAGTATCAATATGATACAATACAACAGGTAACAACCATCCAAATAACCCCTTAAAGATCGTAACCGTAAGATGTTTCATCTTTATTTAACAATTGATAAACACTTTTGACGTGAAAATAAAATACAATAAAACGTTTAAGTTAATAACTAGACCTAAGTCGTACATTATTTTACATGATTAGTAGTCCTTGAACATGCCTCAGATTCTCTACCAATTTTCTAGGCATTTGTTTATGGAGAAATACCAATAATGATTTTCTTTTTTCCACCAATGTAAATAGTGGCGGAACCAGGATTTTCATTAAGGGGTTTCAAAACATATAAAAGTAAACATATGAAAAAAATTAAAGGAAATCAATATTATATATATACATTATTTTTTTACCTATCTATACAATATATTTTTCTTACGATCTTGCTATAAGGTGGCTCCACCGCTGAGTGTAGAAGCCCTACCCAATGTTAATTAATTCATTGAAAAGTGCAAAATAAGTTGGAGTTAGCATATTAATAAGCTAAATACTTTCTTATATACTAAATGCATGTGAATTGAGCATTTAACAAACACAAGTTGGTATCTAAATCATTTGCCATGTTCTAATTATAGAAGCCATGGTCAAAAGACACAAGAAAGGGAGGAAAAAAGGGCAAAAGAATTTATTTTTTGTTAATTAAACTTGATACACTTATGATTGGCATTGACCATAGAAATGCATGTGTGAGAGCACATATTTTTAATATTTAGCTGTATCATTCCTTGCACATTCAATTGAGGCAGTTTTTCCAATAATGAGATTCAGTTAATGAGGTCAATAGCTAGGATTTGAATGAATGAAGACCTGTTTTCTACTAGTCAAAATATGTATTAACCCTTTCAATTATGTTAGCCATTATCTAGGGAATAGTCAAAATCTTTCTTGAATTTTACCAAACCCCTTAAAATCTTCGTGTTGTCCTTAATTTTGAGGTTTACTTTGTCTGCACATTTATGTTGTAATTTCAAGAGGAACGGAAAGAGAAGAATATAAGGTAGAGATATTATGAGATGAACTTTGGCTTGGGTTTTATTGTCCACTTGAACTTTGGCTTGGGTTTTATTGTCCACTTCTTTTCTAATTTTGTCTTTCTTTAAAGAGTTTGTTATATATCTAAAATCTATCGACTCGATTAATTTTTAGATTTGCGTCAACAAGTTTGTATCGTTATAAGGATAAAGTATTTTCTATTGAAAGAAACTTCCATATTCTCGGTATTCGAACTCAAGAGCTATAGTTACGTAAGGAAAAATTATTTATAATATCTGACTAAACCCTTTGGTGATGGCTGTATATATTTTGTACTCCTTTGAGGAAGAGATTGACCTAATTTACAGGGTTGAAACCTATAAAGGCTAATTAGGATGAAGTAATTATTTGATAAAGTATTCAAATCTAGGTCGTTGTCTTATGGATTTTTCCTTTAATAGGACTATCATATCACAATGCACTTTATATCAAAATTGACGATCAAGATATAAGTTTGAGACTAACCGCGTTAGTTTTTCATTATTCATTAGACAATTATTTTTCCAGTCAAATATAAACTCTGATATTTAAAACTCTATGCTCGAGAATCAAAATAACAATAGTGAAATTGTAAGAACAAAAGGTTTTGAGATATGGCACAAAATTAAGATCTAACTGATCGCGTTTAATTTATCAATGGAATTTGGTTAATGCTAAATTAGAAGAGGTCTTTTGTCTTTTACTTCATTCATATTTACCAGGTTACCGATTAATAATTATCATATAGATTTACCTAATTCTGAACCAATTGTGCCAATTTTTTTTCTTTGAAAAAATAACACTGTATAGCCGCTCTTAAAATAATCGTCGAAAAATATATATATATTTTGTATATATATACATTTTCTATGTTATATACACAAAAAATATAAATTTTATACACTTTTTTGGCTACCAAATATAAATAATTTCTAGCGCGGGTTACAAATAAAAAAAAACCCCATTTTTTTAATACCATAGTACATAATCCAAATAAAATTTTCAATTTTCCCTAAGTCATACGGAGTTTGTCATAAATAATCCTAAACAAGACCATCTTGGAATAACTTGTTGTACAATAATTTTTTCCTTTCTTGGGGAAAGTACTTTTTCTCCGGTAATATGTCTTGAATCCCTTAACAGTTCATTGAATTAAGATGATACTAATTAGTAGCATTAGATTTCTAACTTTGTTCTGAAGCCATTTCTAGATTTCATGTTCAAAGGACAAGTTTCACAGGTCCTTTATTCAACATGTCTCAATCCAAAGAACCTAAACTCTGAAGTTAGATTCAAAATTTAATTTCCCAAGAACAATTTGCCCCACAACTAAAACTATATATATATTACCAATATGTTAATAAAAAATTCTTATAAAAAAATTATATACATGTGTGAGTGTACTATAAGATTATATATTCTAATGCAACTAACTCCATAACTGTAATAACTGAAACCCATTAAAATATTTGATATTTATATCATGTGACAGAGCCAAATGTCCGTTAAATAAGATAAGGGGAATCAATTTGAAAACATGGGAATTCATGTGATCACATGACCCTGAGTTGAAAAAAATATTTGTTCAATATTAGTCAATGACCTTTCTCTAACAATATTTTACATGGCATTGATCTGCAGATAAAGTTAAATAACTTTAGGTTAATTGTGGCAAAATTATCCCATTTGGGATTAATTAATTTTAGTTAATCGTTTTATGTGAATCCTCGGTTGCATTACTTGCATTTTTCCCTTGCCCCCTTATAAGGGACTGGTCTTTAAAAATTATTCTCGTTTTTAAAAGTATTTAGAAAATGATCCTCGATTCCACACACTTATTATAATATGAGAATCTCAAAGTTGAGTTATTACAATTGTGATTTGTATCTGTACTTGCAAAAGAAAATAAAGAGATAAAGAGGTTTTGTTTCCCACTATCCACGCTTGATAATTAGATTTGGTTGAGTTTCAATTAGAAGTTTGAAGTTAGTCATAATTTAGATGTTTAATTTATAGTTGGGGATAATTGAAGGTGTATATATAAAGAAAACAATTTTGAAGTACATTTCCAAAATTCTTTATTGGACAAATAAATCTCATAATGAAGTAGAAAATCATTTTAGGACCACATAAATACGTAGAAATGGCGTGGGATAGCCACTTTTTAACATGGTATTTAGTTTTTATTCAGTATTTTTAATACTGGGAAAAATAGTCACTACTCTATTAAAATTA